CTGCAAAATCTCCATTCCCACCCCACTTCAGGGAAAGGATACTGCAAAGTCCTCATTCCCTCCCTACTTCTGGGGGAAGGATATTGCAAAATCTCCATTCCCACCCCACTCTGGGGCCAGCCAGAGGTGGTATTTGCCGGTTCTCCAGACCACTCAAAATTTCCGCTACTAGTTCTCCAGAACCTGTCAGAACCTGCTGGATTTCACCCCTGGTCTGAGTTCAATTCAGAGTGCTGCTCTTAAGGTAGTTCTCAACTTACGACGATTTGTTCAGCAGCCATTCAAGTCACAACAGCACTGTAAAAAATGACTTTTGACCAGCCCTTTCATTTATGACTGGTTGCAGCATCCTCATGTTCACATGATCAAAATTTGGGTGTTTGGCACCAGGTATGCATTTATGACAACTGCAGTGTCCTGTGAGGGGAGGGGGGCATGTGATCTCCATTTGCTCTCTAGGAGATCTGGTGGCGCAGTGGTTAGAATGCAGTATTGCAGGCTAACTCTGCCCATAGCCAGGAGTTCGATCCTGACTAGCTGAAGGATGACTCAGCCTTCAATCCTTCCGAGGTCGGTAAAGTGAGGACCTGGATTGTTGGGGGCAATATGATGACATTTGTAATCTGCTCAGAGAGTGTTGTAGAGCATTATGAAGCGGTATACAAGTCTAAGTGCTCTTGCTATTTGCTACCTTCGTGGCCAGCCTGTCAGAAGCAAAGTTAATGGAGGGATACAACTGCAGGGATTTGCTTAACAACCATGCAAAAAAAGGTCATAAAAGTGGGCATGACTCGCTTAACAACCGCTGGAAATTGTGATTGTAAGTTGAGGACGACCTGTAATTTATAAGACCTCATGGGTCAGCTCTCATTGCTCTGGAAGACTGTCTTCCCACCCAAACACCTCAGGAGTGAAGCAGGAATCCCTGCCCCACCTCAAAAATACACACAAATTAAGACCTGAAAGCAGAACTTTTCCATAGCCGCACAAGCATGATAGAACATCCTATCCCTGAGCTGTGAGCAGCCCCTACTTTGTTGTCATTTCAGAGAGCAACACTTTTGTTCCAATGGATCATTACAATTGAATCGTACTGGCTGGCTTCTGTGTTTTGTTTCATCAATTTTACATTATATTTTCACTGGGTTAGATGGGAACGGTTTATGTTTGTGACGTGGATTGGATTTTACTGGTTTAGTTGGCTTATGCTTTTATGGTCATTTTATGTTTTTAAATGTCTTGAGTTCTGATGTATGGATGGTATAAACATGTATGTAATAAATCTATCAAAAAAATTGATCCCATGGGCCATGCATCCCCTCTCTCTGTAGAATATCAGAAAAAGCACCTTCTTATATCTAATTGACTTTGAATAATACAAAAGGGAGTTAATCACTTCCAACCAGTAATGTCTGCCTGTCTGTTTGTCTGCCAGTCTGTCCATCCGTCCAGCTATCATCGATCTATCGATCTATCGATCTATCGATCTATCGATCTATCTATCTATCTATCTATCTATCTATCTATCTATCTATCCATCCACCCATCCACTCATCCATCCATCCACCCATCCATCCATCCATCCACTCTCTCTGTGTGTGTCTGTGTCTGTCTGTCTGTCTGTCTGTCTATCTATCTATCTATCTATCTATCTATCTATCTATCTATCCATCAATCCACCCACCCACCCATCCACTCATCCATCCATCCATCCACTCACCCACACATCCATCCATCCATCCATCCATCCATCCATCCATCCATCCATCCATCCATCCACTCTCTCTGTGTCTGTCTGTCTATCTATCTATCTATCTATCTATCTATCTATCTATCTATCTATCTACTTACCTACCTACCTACCCCCTCACCCCCACCCAGGTAATGGGAGAAAGGAGAAATAGTAAGGCTTGTAATTATTATTTATACTGTAAAGAGTGTTTAGAATATATTAAAATAGATAGTTTATGGAGTTCTAGTCATAATCCACAATGGAAGATGTTTTTGGCTTCTACATGAAAAATGAATTTCATTTAGATTTAAAATTAAGATTAATCCCCCCTATCAAATGATTAGCTTTGATGAATTAGAAATCTGGGACTCATTGGGGAAGAAATTGAGAGGTTCAGCTAATGGTTAGTGATGCAGTACTCAAAATACTTCAAATTATACTCATTGGTTTTTCTAGATATTTGTGTTCTTTTGAGAGATACCAAATAATCTGGAAACTCAGAAAAGAACATTGAAAATGGATATTGCCTGTTTCTGTGTCAGCAAAAAAAAAGTTTCAGCTTTGGAAAGCTATTTATCCTCTATGAGTTGATTTTTTGTTTGCAGAATATGCCTATCTCTATTGGAACAAGCAGTGTATAATTGCAATCCTAAACTGCAGGATTTGGACTGCATTTATGTTATACATATTTAACTTCCCATCCTCCGCCTATAGTTTTTTTTTAAAAGCTGACCTAAAACATTTAATTTAACTGAATAACTTGGGTGACTTTAAGAGTAGCTTCAAATAATTAATTATTTTAATATATGAGAGTTGTAGCCTTTTACCCCCAGTTTGCTTCTAAAATTTGCAGGACCGCCTTCTGCCGCCGATAGCCTCCCACCGACCAGTACGCTCCCACAGAGAGGGACTCCTCAGGGTGCCGTCAGCCAGGCAATGTCGGCTGGAGACCCCCGGGGGGAGGGCCTTCTCTGTGGCAGTTCCTGCCCTCGGAGATACGAAGGATATCGGATCTCCGGTTCTTTCGCCGTGCCCTGAAAACTTTTCTTTTCCATCAAGCAGGGCTGGCGTGAACCCCCCCCCCTTCTTTAGTCTTTTTTAGTTTTTTAGCTTTTAAATTGTCAATGGGTTTTAATTTGAATTGTTTTAAATTTGGGCCAAAGTTATGTAATTCTTTTAATAATTTTAAATTTTGTATTGGTATGTGTTTTAGTTCTGGCTGTGCACCGCCCTGAGTCCATTAGGAGAAGGGCGGTATACAAATTGAATAAAATAAATAAATAAATAAATAAATAAATAAATAAATACATACATACATACATACATACATACATACATACATACATACATACATAAAATGATATTTAAAACTAAATTCATACAAATCAACAAAAATGTCCAGCTGGGGAATCCTGGGAATTGAAGTTCAAATTTCTTAAAGGGCTAAGGTTAAAAAATACTGTTTAGATTGTGGAATCATGATAAAATGAACCTCATGCCCTTTCAGGAACTTGTTCATCTCAGCTGTGGTGATATACGGCTACATGGGGCCAATCAGATTATTTGTATTATGATGTGACAAAGCCTAATGGGAAGGAGGGACAAAGCATCCTGGAGTTGAGTTGCATTGGCTCTAGTTTAGATCGAGGACTCTGGCATTTGTAGCTGGCAATGAATGAAATCCCGTGTAGATAGTGCCAGACAATTTAAAATGAACTGTTGACTGATTCATTATAAGGTAATTGGTGTGTATTTAATGGGTGAAAAATCTCTGCTTTGTTTTGGCACAACTTTTTTGGATTACTGTAAGTGGTGGCTTAAAGTTTTTTTGAAAAACCCTTTGCCCATTTCAGCTCAGCCTCCAGATGGTGCAAGAATCAGCTACCACTTTCCAACCATGCACAGATAAATTGATCTGTGCTATACAACTGCCAGATCACTCCAAACCGAGGCTTTCTTTCCGTATTATACTCTTAAATGCTTCTAATCTCTGAAGACAATCAATAAATGTCATTTGCTAAGAGATTTGGGGGGGGGAGAGCAGGGAACATGTTTATTTTATGCAAAACATTAATTGCAGCTGCTGTGGTTAGCTTGATGATCGGAACACAGGCAACGGGTTTATCCATTTTTGCATGCAATTAGTGAAGAGAAGATCTTGTAAAAATAGTGATGGTGGTGGAGAAGGAGGGAGGGAGAGAAAGAAAGACAGAATGAAAAAAGCGAGAGAAAAGAAAGGAAGGAAGGAAGGAAGGAGAGAGGAAAGAAAAAAAGAAAAAAAAGGAAAGATAGGAAAGGAAGAAAGGAGTGAAGGAGAGAAAAAAGGGAAAGAGAAAGAAGGAAAGAAATGGAAATGAAGATAGGGAGGAAAGAAGAGAGAGAGAGAACAGAAAGAAAAAGAAAGAAAGGAAAAAAGACAGGGAAGGAAGAGAAGGGGAGTGAGAGGAAAGGAAGGAAAGAGAAAGAAAGCAAGAAAAGGAAGGGAGGGAGGGAGGGAGGGAAGGAAGGAGAAAGGTGGGAAAGGGAGGAGGGAAGGAAAGGAAGGGAGGGAGGGAGGAAGGAAGGAAGAGAAGAAAGGAAGGAGAAAGATGGGAAAGGGAGGAGGGAAGGAGAAGGAAGGAAGGAAAAGGAAGGAATGAAGAAAGGAAGGAAGGAGAAAGATGGGAAAGAGGAGGGAAGGAGAAGGAAGGAAGGAGAGAAAAAAGGAAGGAAGGAGAAAGATGGGAAAGGGAGGAGGGAAGGAGAGGAGAAGGAAGGAGAAGGAAGGAAGGAGAAAGATGGGAAAGGGAGGAGGGAAGGAGAAGGAAGGAAGGAAAGAAAGAAAGAAGGAAGGAAGGAAGGAGAGAGAAAGATGGGAAAGGGAGGAGGGAAGGAGAAGGAAGGAAGGAAAGAAGGAAGGAAGGAGAAAGATGGGAAAGGGAGGAGGGAAGGAGAAGGAAGGAAGGAAAGACAGAAGGAAGGAAGGAGAAAGATGGGAAAGGGAGGAGGGAAGGAGAAGGAAGGAAGGAAAGACAGAAGGAAGGAGAGAGAAAGATGGGAAAGGGAGGAGGGAAGGAGAAGGAAGGAAGGAAAGACGGAAGGAAGGAAGGAGAAAGATGGGAAAGGGAGGAGAGAAGGAGAAGGAAGGAAGGAAAGAAATAAAGAAGGAAGGAAGGAAGGAGAGAGAAAGATGAAAGGGAGGAGGGAAGAAGAAGAAGGAAGGAAGGAAGGGAAGGAAGGAAGGAAGGAAGGAAGGAAGGAAGGCGACCAACTCTTCAATTATACCCACCTTTGTTTCTCCCAGCCGGTCAAGTTGCAGCGGCTTCCCCCAATTTCTTCTTTTGCAAACAGAAAAACCAAAAGCAAAAAAAAAAACCAAACCAACCACCACGGGCGAATTTAGGGCTCTCCTCCTCCTCCTCCCAATCGGTACAGAAGCCACCAACCTCCGGGTTGGAGTTTGGGGGGGGAGGTGGGGGGGGGGAGCAGGCGGAGGGCGGGCGGGTGGCAGCCGCTCTGGGTCTCCCAGCGCCAAACGGTCTCGTCATTTCTGAGCCTGCCGGATCCCTCGCCGGCCTTTCGAGGAGCGCGATCCCTGCACCGGGGAAGGGAAGGGAAAGGAAAGGAAAGGCGAGCGCCACAAACTGCCCGGCAGCCGCGTCGGGGCGGCCAAAGGCAGCGCAAGGAACCCAGTCTGGGCGATCGGGTGGCGGGGCGGAGAGCCCTTCCCTTGACTCGGGAAGGCCACCCCTGCTCTGGGCTGGCCATCCACCCGGCAGCCTCCAAAGCTGGCGCGGCCCAAGGACGGCTTGGCCAGGTGTGACCCCAAGGTCCCCGGAGTCCCCAAGTCGCACCTGTCTGCTGAGCGACCTTCTCCCTTCTCCCTCCTCGCGGCGCCCGGATTAGCGAAGCAGGCGAAGAGGAGCGGGGAAAGGAAGGGAAGAAGCTCCGGAGAGAGGCAGGGCTGCCCTGCCTCGCCGCCTTAAGAGCTCTCCTGCCCACCGCCGGCGTTTTGGGGGCGCTGGGAAGAACCCCCCCCTCTTTCCTTGGCCATGTCACAAACTTCCCACAGGATGCGGTCCAACAGGGCAGGGATCCGAGCCGCTGTGGTGCTCATAGGGTTGTTGCACAAGTCCAGAAAGCAAAATAAAGAGAAAAGGTAATATGCACCTGCTGTTTTTTTGGGTGGGGGGGCTTTGATGTATTCTGGGCTGCACCCTTTGGGTGGTTCATTTCCCCCCCCTCCCTCCTGGGATTTGGGGCAGGGAGTTGGGGGTGGGATTGACAAGGTTGCTGGGGGAATAGGGGGGGGGGGAATTGGGGTGGGTGGGTCAAGATGCTAACAGAGCATTGGGCAGCCTTAGCTGTGGTGGTCCTTAACCTCCCTCATCCTGTTATCATTCTCGGAGGCGTGGGAGTGACCGAAAAGCAGATTCCAATCTTGCAAAGGTGTCAAAGCCAGATTTCATCCTCTTTGCCTCTCCAAGTGGCACTGAGTTCCACCGGCACTCAGCCGGACGGCATTTGAAATGGAGATGCGGGACGTTGGGGCGTTTTGCTCGCTTGTAAATCGCAGTTTGGAGAAGCTGCTCTGGCAAAACTGATGTTTCAGAACATTTTGCTGGGGGTGGGATGGGGAGGGACGACACTGAGAAAAGTTAGAGGCGGGCAGGCAAGAGCACAATTTAAAATGCTTTATTCAGTAAACAATTTGCAGCATCAAACCTGGAAAAATGCTCTGCTTTCTCTTTTGAGCCTTTGGTAATAATAATTCGGAACGTAGTTATTCCCTTTTCTACATGATGGCAGGTGTAATTTACTTGAATTTCTCCCTCCTCCCCTCTCTGTAGGACTTAAAATACTCAATCTGAGGCCTTCAGATTTTCTTACCTGGCTAATTCTTTTTTTTTTTTTAGCTTTCCTTTCCAGCTAGACAACAAAGTGAAAACAACAGGCACAATTCTGGCATGATTGTGGGTTCCCGAGAGAAAAATAATAATGTGCAAAAGTTCTTTTGTTGTTGTCATTATGATTATAAGGATGGCGGTTGTTTCTGGTAGCCATCAAGTTTTGGGAAACATCAAAACTCTTGTGATTTGAGTCCCTGCTAAACTAAGAAAGAACTGTTTAGTAGGAAGGGGTGTGTTTGACAAAATAGTGTGTGGACATGCTCTGTTTATTTAGTGCATGCCACTTTAGGAAACTGGATAAGTGATTGCTTCAAGGAGATTCACTCAAACAATTTGGTGAGGGTCAGACAAATTATCTCAGCTAATATGTACTTTGGCTTGACAACAGAAAGGGACAAGGACTATGGTCTAAGCTCTTGAAAGTAACACAATTCAGGTAAACTAGTAGGGCAACTTTAGGCTCTGCTATAAAACTGAGCTTCTTTGTGCTTGTTCTCAGGCACACTTGTAACAAGAAGTGTTAGGGGAACTGTTTTTTTTTTTTAAATGGGGCTTAATCCTAAGGATTTTCCAGCTGATTTGTGTGGCTTATTATCTTTCTTATTTTCCTCCTTGTATTTATGTATCCCACCTCCCGCTTTTCCTCTTTGTTAAACTGTCCTCAGTTTCTGAGAATAATAACACCCACAAGTGGTTAATCACAGACTGGTTAATCAATTGTAGTTTGTTCTCCGAATGTAAGAAAATGCTTGATAATTGTCACTGGCTCCGCTCACATCATGCAAGGACACTTCACTGGGTCCTGAATTAACCTGTTCGTTGGGTTTGCAATGTGTGTTGACCGATAAACTAATCCAACAGGTTAGGCTCTTTTTAAGCGAATTTTTAAAAAATGGATATATGAATAAGATAAGATTTTTAAAAGGTTAGTGTGTTCTGTGGTTGCAGAATATGTATCAAGTCTTTAAATGAATTGGTGTGTATATTCTATGAATGGCACTGTTCCTCTCTGGCTTAAAAGTTTTCTATTTTGGATCAAGAGAAGGAGGACTTGGGTTCAAATCTCCATCCAGTCATGAAAGTCAACTGGATATTTGTAGATTTGGGGCTGGGTTTCTTAGTCTAATCTACTCAGTGGCATTGCAAGGGTTAAACATTGAATCATGGCGATTATCTCAACTTGCTTTTGGAGATATAAAAAGGCAGTAAATAAATACTGTATTTTCCCAATTCAGGAAACCTTGTTTTATCTCAATGGCCTTGTCAGAAAGTAAAAAAAAAAGCTTTTACATTTGTGTATATGATAAGCAGGATTAAAAATAACACCATTACTTAGGTCAGAGAGTTTTTAAAAGTGGAATCTGTGAAGTGTAAAATAAATGACTTCTCTGGAAATCCTTCGTAAGAAACCTGAGGGGGTGATAGGTGGTAGAAAAAAACCCTCACACTATACCAAGTCAGATAACACAAACATCCCCAATAAAGATGTGTGTAACAGCTGGTAGCCGCCGGCAATCATGGGCATCTATGTTTCATTAAGCCCTTCCAGCTATTTGTCTTTCCAAGTACATAGCATTTCTAGCTGTTCGCTAGCTTGTAAAAACAGTTATTTCCGGATGAGTGTAATATTTTGAAGTGGATGGTGGGCTACTTTGCTCTCCTCAGATGCAGAAGAGAGAAGGTGACTGGTTTTTTTTCCCTCTAGACTGAGCTAGGTTGGGAAATCCAAATCTTTTCAACGGCAAAAGCAATGGTTCCCCCCTATGAAAGTCCCAGCTTCTGCCAACCTAGCAATTCAAAAGCACGTAAAAAAATGCAAGTAGAAAAATAGGGACCACCTTTGGTGGGAAGGTAACAGCCTTCTGTGCGCCTTTGGCGTTGAGTCATGCCGGCCATATGACCACAAAGACATCTTCAGACAGCGCTGGCTCTTCGGCTTTGAAACGGAGATGAGCACTGCCCCCTAGAGTCGGGAACGACTAGCACATATGTGCAAGGGGAACCTTTACCTTTACCTTTATGCAAGTGGGCTCCTATTTGTCAGGAGTGGTTTAGAATGGCTTTTGAGTGTATTTATTGTCGCAAAGGGGAAAAAAATGAATTGCCTGCTGCAGTGGGCATGACCCCATACCACTCTGACTCTCCCTGAAGGCTTCCGAAAGACCTGTGATTTTGGAATCACATCATTTCCAAGAATATTGATGTCGTCACCCACTGCAGGTGACTTCATTGCAAATGATCTCAAAAGAGGTGATTGTTGTGTTTCCCCATCCCCCCTTCTAGACAGGAATGACAATGACTCAACAGACGCTTCCTCTTTTTCTCACCCACATCCAATTCCCGATCTGAACAACTACCAGATGTATGGCATTTACAAGTAGTCCTTGACTTACAATGGTTCACTTAGTCTTTTAATGACCCTGTAATCCCTTGCATTGGGGTAGAGTCGGGGCAACTGAATGGAGCTGAGTGTTTACTGGCCGGATGCCCTTCCTGTTGCCAATGCAGAGTTCGCTGCTGATATTTACACATTGTGCCCTACTTAGGATCGAACTCACAGCCTCCTGATCGTGAGGCAAGAGCTCCACCTCTAGGCCACTGACTGCATCACTCACAATGGTTCACTTAGTGACCGTCCATTGTTCCAGGACTACCTGTAGTTCCTGGAACAATGTTTCTTAACACTTGGCACTTCTAAGATATATGGACTCCAACTCCCAGAATGCCTCAGCCAGCATGCCTTTGCTTAGAATTCTGGGAACTGAAGTTCACACTGGAAGTTGCCCTGGTTGCAAAATATTAATTGTACAGATAGTCTTCAACTTACAACCATTTGTTTAGTCACTATTCGAAGTTATAACGGCTCGGAATAAAGTGACTTACAATTGGTTCTCGCACTTAGGACTGTGGCACCATTTCCATGGTCACATAATCAATATTTGGGTGCTTGACAACCGATATGTAGAGTATTTACCAAGATTGCACTGTCCCAGGGTCATATGTGATGGCCATTTGTAACCTTCCCAGACGGCTTCCAACAAGCAGTGGGGGAAGCCAGATTTGCTTAACAACTATATGATTTATTTAACAACTCCACTGTTTTTGCTTAACAACCATGGTAACAAACATCATAAAATGTAGACTCACTTAACATATGCTTGCTTTTATTTGCTTGTTTAGCAGTGGAAATTCTGGTCTTGATTGTGGTCATAAGTTAAGGACTACCTTAATGTTTACAATTAGCAGTATCATGGTATTATTTCTCTCAGATCAGTTTAGTGCCTTATTCCAGCGGTTCCCCAACCTTTCCAGCTTGGTGGCTCAGCCCGGGGCGAAGATGTGTGTGAGTGGCAGGGGCACCAGCGCGCACACACCTCTATTTGTGCAAGTGGCATGTGCGCGCACCCTCCATTTACACAAATGGAGCTTTGCACGCAAGCCGGGGGTGCTTGCACTCGCCTGTGAAGCTCCTCTTGTGCAAGT